TCCTGGCGGGGGGCGGGGGGCGGGAGGGGCACCCGGGCAGGAGACTATCCTGGAGCCGAGACTGGTGTCCGTGTTGTTCTGCTGTGACGGTTCCGTCCCACCAGGGCCTGTAAAGTCGGCCTGCTCCTCAGATCCTTTCAGACGGCAGCCAGTCGACAGGCCCGAGCTGACGCCGCCGGGTTCCGAGCACCGGGGCAGGCGCGGACGGGACCCGCTGCTCGCATCCCACCTCCCCCGGACCCGCGCCCAGCACCGTGCTGGCAGGGGGTGTCTGCAGGCCGGGACGGGGCTGTGCCACTGCTCTTCCCCGCATTCTGATTTCCTTACACTGCACGGAGCCCGGCGCCATCGCCCGCCTCCCGGGACCGACCTAACACCCGGTCAGGGGCGGGGAGCGGACTGCTTTGGGTAATGACACTGCTGTGCGTGTTTAAAGGCACCAGGAGGGCGACCCACAGACATCGCCAAGCCCTGGCCTCTGTGCCCAGTGACACCGGCGTTCTCGGGGCTGGACACGGCGTGCTGTCGCCCGGTGCATGGGCTCACGCGGCCCGGAGTCGTCCCTGGGGCGGGGAGTGGTCTCCGTGGGTTTCACACGCAGAGCTGGGCCGCACCCGTGGGAGCACCTGGGCGAGGGCGACCTGAGGCACACAGTTCCCTCCTCTGAGGACGGGCGGTGCGTGACCCGGGAGCGCGTCCTCGGGGCTCTGTCGGACACGGGTCTGCTCACAGCTCCCTCTCTGCTTTGCATGTTTCTAAATGTATTTTTATGGATTTTAGAGAGGAAGGGAGAGGGAGAGAGAGAGAACCATCCATGATGAGAGAATCCTCCATCAGCTGCCTCCTGCATGCCCCCTACTGGTCCAGCCCACAGCACATGCCCGGCAATCGAGCCGTGACCTCCTGGTTCATCGGTTGACGCTCACTCAACCCCTGAGCCGTGCGGCCGGGCTGCGTGTGTTTTTAGAAAAGCCGCTGCGCTGGGTCCCGGGATTCATGCTCCGACTCCGACACTGCCGCGCGGCGTAGCCTTGGGCCCACGACTTCACTCCCGTGAGCCCGTTCCGTCTCATCCGTCCGTCTGTCCGTCCATCCTTCTATCCATCCACCCATCCCACACCCAGGCGGTGGCGAGACAGCGCCCCCCAAGGTTTCTCATGGATACACGAGTGTGTGAGCCGCGTTGAGCACAGGGTGGGACACATACGTGTGCAAGGCTCTGCGTCAGCCTCACCGAGTCTCCGTCTCCTCCCGCTCACGCGCTGTGGCTTCGCTCGTGACAGGGGCATCGCAGCCCCCGGGGCGCAGCCGTGCCGCGTAGAACCCCGGGCTCAGGACGGCCGGGGAGGACGCCTCCTGCTCTCATACTTGCTTTTATTTCATAAAAATCTATTCGCCGAATTCTCGGAACTCAGCAGACTTGCAGTGAGCCTCCTGTTGTCACGCTAATGAAGGAATCGGGACGTTGCCTTCCTTTTCTCTGTGTGATGTTTCCCTGTTCGCCGTCACGGCGGCTCTCGGGTAGTTGTGACACAAGCTAGTTGCACAGCGGGCCTCGGATCAGCAGAGCCTCGCGGTGCGTCATGATAGTCCCCCATTTCCCGGGCAGGCGTTCCCGGGGTCGCGGTGTGGGCTGTGGGCTGCCCCGGGGCGCAGCCGTGCCGCGTAGAACCCCGGGCTCAGGACGGCCGGGGAGGACGCCTCCTGCTCTCATACTTGCTTTTATTTCATAAAAATCTATTCGCCGAATTCTCGGAACTCAGCAGACTTGCAGTGAGCCTCCTGTTGTCACGCTAATGAAGGAATCGGGGACGTTGCCTTCCTTTTCTCTGTGTGATGTTTCCCTGTTCGCCGTCACGGCGGCTCTCGGGTAGTTGTGACACAAGCTAGTTGCACAGCGGGCCTCGGATCAGCAGAGCCTCGCGGTGCGTCATGATATTCCCCCATTTCCCGGGCAGGCGTTTCCGGGGTCAGGGCGTGGGCTGTGGGCTGTGGGCTGGTGGGTGGGCGAGGGGGGCGCTGTGGAGTCGGCTGGTCCCCACCGCCCGGCACTCACGGTCCCACGTGCTCACCTGCTGGCGGTGGGGGCGGTGGGTGTGTATTCGCACAATTATAAGAGCCCCGTGCCTTCGCGGGCGACTCGCGCCACCAGGACATAGTCACGGCGCATCGCACCCGAGTCACCACTGACGGGGGAATGAGCCGAGGAACCCCTCGTGTGGTTACAGGTGCGGACGCGGAGGCCCAGGACGGGGCAGTCTTGCCCACAGTCACGAAGTCCTCGTGGGGCCGAGCCAGGACTCACACCCAGGCCCTGGGGCCCAAGGGGAGGTCTCGGGGCCCCTCTGGGGGGGGTTCCTTTGGCTGCTGCTCCTCAATCCAGTGTCGGGTCCCCAGGAGGCCCGCAGGCAGCGTGCGTTCCCCTCCATCCTTACTCGATAGCGACTTCCCTCCACACACGCGGCCCCGAGGACACAGGGGCCACGCGTGGAGAGGGACTCTCCGTGGCTGGGCTCCGGGGGGGGGCATTCGCCCCGAGTGGGGTAAACCCCCCCGATGCCTCCCTCGCCGGCCCTGCCGACGCTCTCATTACCTGGAATGGCCGCACAGGGGCCGCTCTCACAGCACCTCTCCTCGCTCCCAGACCCCGTGTCACCGTCTCAAGCGCGACTGGGGCTCAGCCGCCCGCCAAGAGGCAGGCCACAGCAAATCCTGCTTCTCCACGCCTCGCGCCCGATTCGAAACGCGGCTCCTTTCCGGTGGTCCCCGGGCGGTGAGTGTGCCGGGGCGTCCCTGACACGCGCAGGGGCCGAGCCTCGCTCCGTCATCATCCAGCTCACACTGGGGGGAGCAGGTGGGGATGGGGTACTTGCTGGGGGGGCCTGTCCAGCCTGAGCAAGCCCCAGTGCACCCCCATGGCCTGGGAGGAACAGGACAGGTGGACGGAGACGGGGTGCCTCTGAGGGGGAGGCTGAGCGGAGACAGGCAGGTGCTCACTGAGTGTGTGGGGGTCCCCTGGTGCCGAGCCCGCTTCTCTGACCTCGGGCGCCCCCTCATTCCCCTCCCGGTGACCTTTCCCCCGGAATTTTCCCTCGGGGTCATCTCTGCAGGACGCTTTCAATCATTTTCATTTGAACAACAAAATGGTGAAGACATGTTAGTGTTAAGCGATCTAACGCAGTGCCAAAGTGGGGTCCTGGGGGGACTCCTGAGACGTGGGCCCCTCTTCCGGCTCCGCCTGGGGCGGGGGGGGGGCTTGGCTGAGCGGTGAAGATGCTGAGGCTCAGAAAGGCCACCTCGCCGTTGACAGTGGACTCCATCCTTGATCTGATTCCAAGCACCACACGTGTGTCATGCATGTTTTTGCATGTGAATGCATGTGCTCCGTGTACAGAGAGGCCGCATGCATACCTGTGCCCTCCGTCTCCCCGTACGAAGGGCGACCCCTGGCAGGCGGCAGGCCTTGCTCGCCTGTCTCCAACACCATTGCGCACAGTAGGCGCTTGTCCCGTGTCGGCCGGCTCAGAACCTTGCCCAGCGCCCCCTGCAGGGCGACGAGGAGCTGTCCTCCCCGGTGGGAGACTTACAGAGGCCACCGCACTGTGTCCCCTCCCCACGCTGGTGGTGTCTGCAGGGGTTAAAAGTAGGGACGGAATCGGCATCTGGAAATAGGCAGCAGGAGAAACCGGCCCAGGCCCGGGTACCCGCTGTTCCCGGGCGAGGAGGGACAGGGTGTCCCAGGAGGACGGGTCTCAGGCCTCCTCTGACCCACTTTCCTCCCGGGCTCACCACGGAGGTGCCAGCAGGCTCCCCCCCCTCCCTGGCCGCCCACGGCTGCCTGGCCCTCC